GTGTCCCACTGAGGGGCAGGGCATGCCTAGGAACTTGATACAAAGCTGTTTCCCAAACTGACTTGTAACTCACTGACTCATTCAAGAAGCGTTTGTGGAATGCTTGCCCTGTGCCAGGTACTGGCTGAGCCTGAGTGCCCCACACCTCGCCCCTCCTGGAACTCATCCAGGGCTGGGGGCCTCTGCGCCTCTGCTATTCCAGGTGCCCAGGACCAACTGGTTTGTCTTCCTGCTTTTTGAGTGTGCTTCTAAAGTTCTCCTGCTGTGATGGAGGATGAGATGATAAAGGGCTGGATTCTCAACTATGTAAGTTTCCCAATCTGCTTGGATTGGGGACTGCCTCAAGAAGGCTATTGCTGAAATCTTTACCTTTCTTTGTGCTGTGTGGGTACAGCAGTGGTTTCAGTCAGAGGGCATTGTCCCACAAGACCTTCTTGCCTGTTGGATGTGGGATGAGGTGGAGGCATTTTCTTAATCATTTTAAGTTTAAAAAATTACAATAGTAAAATGTTTTCTATAGAAAAAAATTTGAAAATATGTATAAACAAGAAAGAAGAGACAGGAAAAGAAAATCACCATGAACCCACTTATAGAGATAATGCGTATTGATATTTTGGTGTGTTTACTCCTATTCATATGCTCGTCTGCTTATCCCTAGTGGGATCTCTCTGTTTGGTAAGTTGCTTTTTGAATGTAATATAGCATGAACATATTACCACATTAATAAATATGTTGTTATGTCAGTAAGTCTATCAATATATATATTACATATATGTTAATAAATATCATTTTGAATGAGGGTTCAGTTGATAACAAAAAGAATTACATGCTACTTTCAGTTTACAAAGCCCTTTCACATACATTAGTTCAATTATCTTTGCCAAAGACTATTAAACAGTGTGGTTCCTGGAATGTGGAATGTGGGGTCACAGATAATTACCAAGTTCAAGACATTCCTCAGCCCACCTCATTCAAGGGAGACTGGTCCCCTCCTTTCAGTGCATGGACCCTAAGCTGAGCTGACAATCTAGAGATGGTACAGGTTACTATGAAATAGAGCTCTGGCCCAGCACAAGCATGAAGTTGCTGTGCCTTTTGTCAAGAAAGGTGGCTGTCTACTTTTCCTCACTTTGAAAAAAAAACCAAATACCCCTCCTACACCTCTGACTCTAGGAAATGGTTGAAGGGATTACCAAGCCTTGGGAGGTGGTTAATTATTGACTCAAGAGTAAATCCTCTGAGAATTGGGTTAGGCAGTGAGGACTTTTAGGAAATTACTGGCTGCACTGGGGGAGCTGGTGGGTCTGTGTTGTGGGGAGGAATTCAGAGGCAGTGACTTAGCTGAGCGGGGACTCAGGCAGTGACTTAGCTGAGCGGGGACTCAGAGGCAGTGATGACTTAGCTGAGTGGGGACTCAGAGGCAGTGACTTAGCTGAGCGGGGACTCAGAGGCAGTGATGACTTAGCTGAGTGGGGACTCAGAGGCAGTGACTTAGCTGAGCGGGTTCTTCCAGGCTGCTTGCAGATGGTCGTCAAAGGACTTATTGACCTTTTAATCTTTGGAGGGGAACTAAGTGGGCTAAACCTCAGGTAAATTCCTACTGTCCACCTCTCCCTGGAGCTTAGATCCATGTAAACTTGTATTTCTCTTTAATTTCTGCAGTCTTTTTTCCTGCCAACGGAATACCAAGTCTTCATTTATATCACCCGCCTTCCATTGTAGAAATACAGAGGGACATTGGCAGAGGAAAACCAGTTTAGTCAGCCTCAGAAAGCCTTCTTCTCTGAATGCCAGTATCCCTCAGCTGTCACCAACACTGTAGCTCGACATAAGCCTCCTCAGACACATTCTCATTTCAGGCCCTGTTCAAGAAGCCACAGTGCTGCTAGCCATAGATAGTCATAGATGGTAATTTCTGGACAAAGGGTAGTTGTTGGTGTTAGTGATTCCTTGTAACAGTTCTGCAAGGTCAGTATTGCTGTCTTTGTTGTCAGGATGGGGAAACTGAGGTTTGGAGAGGTGAACTTGCTTCCCTAAGGGCACATAGCTGTTAAGAAAATCCAGGCATTTGACTCAGGTCTGTTTAGATCTTTCTCTGGTAGCATTCTGCCTATGTTCTCACATTCCTTTTAGCTGTAGAACGCCTGAAATGGGATAGAATGCAGACGAACAAAGAAACAGGCCAGGTAAGAGTAGAGCTGCCCTGGCTGGAGATAACGGGGCCAGTCCCAGTCCCCTCTCCGCTCCACCCCTGACTGCTTCCAGGTGGTCTGAGACACCTTCACAGGACACTTAGAGCTCAGTGTGAAAACTGTCACAGAAAGGTTGCAGGGACATAAACAGGACATATTTGGGTCTTTGAAGCACTCTATGATCTTTCCAGGTAGTTAGGGTCCAGATACCAACCGTCTTTGCCTGGCTGGGAGAAAAGGGCTCTGTGCGACCTTTGGTTTTTATTCTCCAGGATGGAGGTGGGCATTAATTCCAAGAGCAAGCAATGGAGGATAACAGTGGCTCTGAGCTAAGAATCTGGTCAGCAGGGCTGAGAGTTCCTGGAGGTCACTTGGTAGAGGCTCCCCAGCATGACCACTACCTGGATAAGTCACATGAAAGGTTTCTCAGGAAGTGAAACAGTGCAGTTTTGATGGTGTTTGGGTTTTACTCTAGCCTGCAGGACTGTCTGACCAAGCACTCACTCCTGTACACACGCACCCACCCACTCACATACCTATGAGTGTTTCCTGTGTACCAGAGCTTGGGCTAGGCCCTGAGAATGCTAAGATTAAAAACAACTCTCCTTGCTCTTTAGGAGCCCATAGGCTGGCAGACAAACAACTACAATACATGGCAGCCAAACAGCTGAGTAACACCTGGGGATGTTGGAAAGGCATCCTAAAGTGTCCAACACTATTCTCATCAGCCTCCAAACTAAAATCCGTCTCCTTGTCTAGACAAGTCAAGACCAACTGGCTACTAGGCTTTTTGTTTTTTCCTGGCAAAATGCTTAAAGAAAATGATAGTATTTGAAAGCCTCACTGGGGTAAAGCCATCATCCGATGAATGAATAAATGGTGAGAAATTTGAGTCAGATCTTGAAAGATGATTAGAGTTTACCAAGCAGAGAAATGGTAGAAGGCATTCTAGGGAGAAGAAATTGGGAATTGGTCTGGGCCCACCATGATGTACTCTGTGTATGCCCTTAGTAATATGCTACTAAACACTTCTAAAACTTGCTTTCCTCATGTGCAAAATGTTGATAATACCTATCGTAACTGTTGTAGAGATACACAGTGATCTTTGTAAAATACCTCAGCATTCTTTACATATGAGGTTTCATAATAAGAAGCTACTGGGTTTATTATTATTATTATTATTAGTTATTTTGAGACAGAGTCTTACTCCATTTCCCAGGCTGGAGTCCACTGGCGCAACCTTGGCTCACTGCAACCTTTGACTCCTGCATTTAAGCAATCATCCTCCCTCAGTTTCCCAGTAGCTGGGATTACAGACATGCACCACCACATCTGGCTGATTTTTGTATTTTTAGTAGAGATGGAGTTCCACCATGTTGGCCAGGCTGGTCTTGAACTCCTGACCTCAAGTGATCCGCCTGTCTCGGCCTCCCAAAGTACTGGGATTACAGATATGAGTCACCATGCCCAGCCTATTATTATTTTTTAAATTAATGTGACCTTTGTTGCTGGTTGCAAAACTATTGTTGAGTTTGGTGTTGAAAACATAAGGAGAGCCATTCTTCTAACTATTCATAGCCATATGGTTTCTTGTCTTGACTTATTCCTGGAAGGACCGAGTGCTGTGTGATTGTGTCTGGTTCTGATGGTGAATTCACAGACTAATTCTTTCATTAAGCTTTGTACTCCACATTCACTGACTCATGGGACACGAGAAAAGAAATTCTTTGTGTGGACTTGAAAGATAGAGAGGGCACACTGAAGCTCTCACAGCTGATGTGCTACCCTGTTCTACTGATATGGTCTACCCTTGTGAAACTTTTCCCTTTGAATTAGACAAAGATCTTAGTTAAGGACCCACTCACACTGATCCGGGGACAGAAATCTATTCAACTTAGTAGGCATTTAAAGAAATCTTTTATAGAACAAAATCTGCTTTCAGTGGTTAGCTCTCTGCTTTTTATAAAGCTAAAACAATATATATATCTGTTAATCCTAGCACTTTGGGGAAAAAAATGTATCTGTGACAAAAGCTGAAGTTTTCTTAAAACAAAAAAATTTATACTTGGGAGGCTGTCTTTTCTCCCAGTTTATTTCATTAATAATAGTGACAACAGGCCAGGTGTGGTGGCTCATGCCTGTAACCCCAGCACTTTGAGAGGCTGAGGCAGGAGGATCACTTGAGGTCAGGAGTTTGAGAGACCAGCCTGGCCAATGTGGTGAAAACCCATCTCTACTAACAATACAAAAATTTGCCAGACATGGTGGCGCACTCCTGTAATCCCAGCTACTCGGGAGGTGGAGGCAGCAGAATCTCTTGAACCCGGGAGACAGAGGTTGCAGTGAGCCAAGATTGCGCCACTGCACTCCAGTCTGAACAGCAGAGCAAAACTCCATTTCAAAAAACAAAAAAAACAATAAGGATAACAAAAGAGCCATGGCCATTGGGCACTTATTAAAACATTATAGTAGCTCATTTAATTAAACAGTGGCCTAGCCAGACTGATAGTGTTATTTGTGCTTTACAGATGAGGAATTAGAGGCTTAGAGAGGCGTACCTTGCGCAAGGTCATATAGGTAAGGAAGTATGGAAGAAAACTCGAAAACCTAGTGTTCTTCCCTCCAGAGATTTTGCTTTTAGCTAGTAGGCTTTATGGCTTCCCTTTATGATCACATTAGTATGTCTATTTCATTAGTCTTGCTATATGTTGGGGAGAATGTGGGCTGCTCAGAAAAGCCTCATGAGCTATTGGAGTTAAGTTGTACCTGAGGTTTATTACATGGCTTCTGTCTTCTTCCTCTCCTTAGCTATGGGGTGCTGCTTTGGGAGTTGCTGACTGGTGAGGTGCCCTTTCGAGGCATTGATGGCTTAGCAGTTGCCTATGGAGTGGCCATGAACAAACTTGCCCTTCCTATTCCTTCTACATGCCCAGAACCTTTTGCCAAACTCATGGAAGGTAAGTAACCCCTGGTCTGAACCAAGCTGGAGACACTTTGCTTTCTTATAAGCACTGGGTAGAGTTTGGCCAATTCTATGAGATTGATTATTGAAAGAGGCGATAAAGTTTTAGTCACCTAAGGAGGAATCCTATGGGCAACTATCTTCTTCAAGATGACGTCCACACCCTGCTGCAAGCGGGTCACATCTGCAGGGACGGTAGAAGTTAAATTAGTAACAAAAGCCTGCTAGGCACTACTTCAGCATATTCTTATCTAATGCAAAATCAGAAAATATAGCAACTTTTATGTCAGGACCTCTGAGTGCCTTAAGAGAAGTGAAGAACATCTGAGGGGAAGGAACTCTAAAAGTCATCTAGTCAAACCCCATAATTTTGTAAGTAAGGAAACTAAAGCTAAGCGAAGTTGAGTAGATGGGTGGCCGCCCCATTAGGGAGTAGCTAAGCTGCGATTAGGTAGAATTCACTTTCCCTGACTCCCACTAGAATGCTTTTCATCCTCTCCTCCTCATCACCCCATTGTGGTTGGAGAAGGGCTAACTCGTTTATTTATGGGAAACTGAGGCCCAGGGCATGGTTCCTCATTGTTCTTGAATCAGGTAGTAGCGTGGTAAATTGTGTTATGGCAGTGCTTTGTACAAGAAAACTCTTTGGGCTCACTTTTCTTATTCTTAATTAACAGCCAGAATGGAATGAATAACAAACTGCTGCACCTTATTTCCATTTTCACTCTTTATGGTTGTAATGGTGGGCAACTTGGTTTACTTCCTGAGCTCTATTTGAGGTTATCTAAGTTCTGATCTCTGTTTCTGGAAGGAGTAAGAGGTAGTTTTCTGGAAAGTGAGGCCATGTAATAGCCTAAGTCTTATATGTTTGCCTCTATCCACTCATACTCTCTGTGTATCCGCATGTTCTGTTCAGACTGCTGGAACCCTGATCCCCACTCACGACCATCTTTCACGAATATCCTGGACCAGCTAACCACCATAGAGGAGTCTGGTTTCTTTGAAATGCCCAAGGACTCCTTCCACTGCCTGCAGGATGACTGGAAACATGAGATTCAGGAGATGTTTGACCAACTCAGGGCCAAAGAAAAGGTAAAAACAACAACAACAACAACAACAACAACAACAAAAAGAAAAAAGATACGCATTGAATTAGTAGACCTCATCCACTGGGGCCTCTGGACTGGGTCTGACTGACCACCCTGATTCTAGCATGCCCACCTTCCTGCTTAATTGTGTCTACTTAATTGTCCGAACCAGAGAAGAACAGTTACCAGTGGGATGTCTCACCCTGCCAGCTGGAAATAGGAGAGGTTCTGGAAATATTTCATGATTCTCTAATGGACTTCTAGAGGAAGGTTAACTTGATACAGGGACACTTCAACCTTGAGGATAGTTATCAGAACATCCTCCAGTGTCTTTTTGACATCAGAATCAGAAATAGAATATCGGCTAAAAATACCATGGGTCTGAAATTGTGTGGCATTTTTCATGTTTTTATGAAAAGTATTTCAAGCCCAAACCAACCAGGGAGTTCAGAGACTCCTACCCTACCAGAGATCTGTCTTTTTGTTTCGGTGGCCATTCCCTAATTGGCCCCTTTCCATTCCCTCAGTGTGTCCCCTAGCAGTCAGTATACACACAGGTGAAGCCAGTCACATGCAGCTATATTGCTTATATAGGCGCAGAACTAAATCTAAGGGATGTAGCCAGGGGCAAAAGGGAAGTCTTTATAGATTTGGTTAATTTCTTTTTTCTTTTCTCACTCTGCACTATGGGAATTTGGGATGTTAATAGCCATATGATAATAATGATAGCTAAAATTGTTTATGGCTTTATGGTTTCCCACTTTTTCCACTTGAAAAGTTTGATGGGCCGGGCGCGGTGGCTCAAGCCTGTAATCCCAGCACTTTGGGAGGCCGAGGCGGGTGGATCACGAGGTCAAGAGATCGAGACCATCCTGGTCAACATGGTGAAACCCCGTCTCTACTAAAAATACAAAAAATTAGCTGGGCATGGTGGCGT